GGTGAGTGTTGGGGGGGGGGGGGTCTATCTGGTCTGCATTGCACATGTCATGTGGATAGGATATCGGTAGACTTGTCCATTAATTTAAATGGGGGGAGTGGGGGGGGGGTTTCTAATTGCCTACTTTTACAAACAAAATACTTGTGTTCTTTCGTTTTAGCCATTTATCTAACATTTAAGTTGCATTAGCATTTAAAGTGAAACTGGTTTAATTTAGTTTTTTGTTGAAATATGTACCCTAGAGCAATTTTTTCAAATATTTTTGACATTTTGTATGTGTTCATTCTGTGTCCTGTTTTCATAGACATGTGAAGGTGTGCCATCTAGTGGTGTGCTATATCTCTTGTGTTTTTTCTTAACAGTTTGTCATGCGGAGCTGAATGCCATTATGAACAAGAATTCTGCAGACGTAAAAGGATGTGTCCTGTACGTTGCTTTGTTTCCATGCAATGAATGCGCCAAGCTAATTATACAAGCAGGTGAAGAATAATTGTAGATCTTGATAGCCCTTGGCAAGAAATAAAGCAGATGCATATGAACACACTTTAATCCAGTTACATGTTCATATTATCAACTGGATTTTTAGTAATTCTAGGAAAAATACCATAATCTGGTTTTATGTTCGCTAGTGCATTTTGCATTTAGAACAGTGGCAGGTTTGGGAGGAGGGGGGGCTGCCATTTCAGTATTAGATAGCCCACAGTATAGCTGCAGCCAGACTATAAATGGATATGAACGCTGCTTTATTTCTTAATAATGGTGATAATGAAAGCCGGTGGAAGTTATACTCGCAATGCAGGTCCCACTTGTCCATGTCCTACCAGTTGCTGGTAAGAATCATACCTTTCTGCCATATTGCTATCAACAAGTGCCTACTTGTTGAACATGTCTGTAGTAGAAGGAACATTAAAAACTAGGTGAACAGGCATGCAGAATCTCTGATTTTGTATAATATTTAGGGTGTTACAGTTTGTATTAATTTAATCAAGTGCATTGCATACATTATTGGCCTTAGAAGGTCAACTATAAGACATTTCATGTTTGACTCGGAAACCCCAAGCTTGCTGTGTATTAGACTGTACTTGGGATGCTGCTGGCATTGAGGCTGCGTGGCTCCATTCAGCAAGCACTGCCAAAATCCTAGCCACAATCATTTATCAGTTCTTCCTGTATGGCTGCAGTCTGAACACCTTCAGCATAAGAGATTAAAGGAGAACTATGAGGATTTTCCCCATAGTTCTCAGGGTAACGGGAGGACACAAACTAGCGTCCTCCCGTCACCCTAGGCTCAGTATACCGCGAGCTGTAGCTCGCGGTATACTGAGACGCCGCAGCTGAAGCGCATCCCGACAATTGTGCCGGGATCCGCCCAGCTGCGTGACTGACAGCTGGCTCTGCCTATCTAGAGGCAGAGCCAGCTGTACCCGCCCCCTCCACCGTCCCTTCCGCCAGTCAGCACTGGCGGAGCGGGGAGGGGGGAATCCAGCCCCTCCCCTTTCACGGCAGAGCCGTGACAGGATCGAGAGGTGAGTGAACGCCGGTATGTGTTCGCTCACCTCCCGATCTACTGAGCCGACCTGTGACAGTCTCATTGTCACAGGTCGACTAGAACTATGAGGTGAGTGAAAAGCACTCGCCTCATAGTTCTCCTTTTAACATTAGCAGGGCTGTTACCTGTCTTCTCAAACAAATTAGTGACTGGTTATGGCTAACTGAGAAATATAGTTGTATTGTAGAAATACTTCCAGTGAACCTGAGGGAGACAGCAGCATGATGACTACACTGGCATCCATTAAAGTGTATAGTTGCCTTGTGTAGCATACAGGTGAAACTCGAATAATTAGAATATCGTGCAAAAGTTCATTTATTTCACTAATGCAACTTAAAAGGTGAAACTAATATATGAGATAGACTCATTACATGCAAAGCAAGATAGTTCAAGCCATGATTTGTCATAATTGTGATGATTATGGCTTACAGCTCATGAAAACCCCAAATCCACAATCTCAGAAATTTTTTGGCAGTGTGGGCAGGTGCCAAGTCCAGCTGGAAAATGAAGTCAGCATCCCCATAGAGCTCCTGTGCAGAAGAAATCATGAAGTGCTCCAAAATCTCCTGGTAGACGGCTAAGTTGCATTAGTGAAATAAATGAACTTTTGCACGATTTTCAAATTTTTCGAGTTTCACCTGTATATGGTTAGTTGGTGACTGGATACCAATTCAATTATAGCAGAAATCAATCACATAGCAGTGGAGCTACCATTTCTTACCAACGTCTACAGGAGATGATTGGCAATTTGGTAACTTTGGCCATTAGAATATGTGGAGAGGTTTCTTCATTGTGAAATGAGTGGACACAATCACAGTGTCATTTAAATTATGCTTGAAATTCCAACTGCTAAATGAAGAGTACAGTGTAGTTACTGTGTGTGTATATGTGTGTGTGTGTGTGTGTGTGTGTGTATATATATATATATACATACATACATACATACATACATACATACATTTCTTTCTTTTTTTTCCACTTCAGTACCTGGCCTTTTATACTTTATTACTTTAATTCTACAACAACTGATGAAATATAAAGATTTATGTATATATTTTTATAGGCATTAAGGAAGTGATCTACATGTCTGACAAGTACCATGACAATCCAGAAATGAAGGCTGCAAGGCGCATGTTTGATCTGGTTGGAATCAAATGCACGTAAGAACAATTTTTATCTTCTCTGCAATGTGGTTTTTGTTTGTTTTTTGAGGGTTTTCCCACTGGATCAGTATTTTTGTGGGAGCAAAAAACCCCAACTCATCAGCCCATCACCACACTCTTCTAGGCTCCCTTCAGTGCCTAGAATATTATTGCAACTCTGATCGCCATTACCACATTTCCAAAATCCAGGTACTTCTGGGTTTGAAAAACAAGTGAAAAGTCACTTGCCTTCTCATAATGCAGTGCTTGGGGGCAATCACGAGAACTCAACGCTTTCACATAAGGGTGGGGTGCATGCCCTTCAGTGTTTTGTTGTCAACAATACTACGTTATTGTCCACAATTGCATTGAAGATGGCAGGCATCTTGGTGACAGTGCAATGTCAGTTACGTATAGTCATTAAAGGGTACAAGGTAAGATTGTATAGGACAGACTTTTTGGGTGGCATTAATTTTAGAGGTTCCAGTGTGGTGTATCGCAAGCAGAACCAATATCTGCCATGACTGTACAGGGGTGTGGAATTCCTATCGCCCGACGCCCGGGACAGGCAGTTTCGGGCGCCGGACAAGATAAACGTTATGCCGTGAGATATTTTAGTACTGTTGTTTGGTATTTATTGCTGCCTGTGTTCTTGTTGGAGAGATTTAGGCGTATTTCCTGTTTGGTGAAAGCAAGCCACCTTAATTTCCTGTTATGGTGAGTGGGAGTTGCAAAGGCAGAAGGTAATGGGATATTTCTCTTGACAAAGAGGGCATCCAAAGCACATTTATTTAGCAATGTGGGGAGGTTTAGTTAAAGTTTTTTTTACTCACTGTGCCCGTCAGTATCCCTGGGACAGGAAGTAAGGGGAAATCACTTTGCACAACTGCTTGCTCTTAATCCCAGCTGGTGTCCCCGCTGATGACCAAAAATCCTATGCATTCTATGTCAGCTCTGACATGGTGATGAAATGCAGGCTAGAGGTTTCGCTGACAAAAATGAAAGCCTTCACTCTACAAATGAACATGGCCACCTTCAAGCTGTAGGGTTCATCGGCAGTACCATCTATTTAATAGCATAACCGTCAGATACATTTGCATTAATATAAGAACGATTGTTTGCAATGTTGTACATTTGTTAGCCTATAAGAAAGACATAGCATGGTTTTTAGTTAAACAATGTACCAAATAAGAACATCTTGTGTAGTAATATGTAGCATCTGTCTAAACTTAGTCAAGCGTGCTAATTAGTTATTAAGTTAACTACTCCTTGCAAATGCTACAAAGTTTACCCTGCGCGCCTATCAATCAATGCCCTCTAGTCATAAAAGGGTTAATTGTGTTAAATTTCAGCTTTTTATTATCGGGGTCCCTGCTGGAGATCTCTTCCCTTGCTTCTGGTGTGCCTGACACACATCCATGGCATAGGAAGTAGGTTTAAATTTCTCTCTCCCCATTCCTACTCTAGTGTAAACTTAAAAAAAAAAAATTGCCAGTCTGAAATTTTCCCTCACTCTCTGGTGCTTGTCAAAATAGATTAGGGGGTGAAAGCCTCCCATTAACGACATGGGCAGCAATAAAACTTGAAGGTTCTAACTAACTCTTCAGCACGCTATCTACAATAGAAACAAATTGGCCTGGAATACAAAATAGGCATTCAAAAAGCTTGATCATGTGATCTCTACAGACTGTTTGTTTGGGTTTGAAAAGATCTTTAATATACAGAGTCTTTCTTAAATGAGTGTTTATATGGATATCACTTGTTTCATTAGACCCTGAACTTATGTATTTGGGTATCCTTTGTCCTAGTGATGGCCTCCTTGCCTAATTGGGTGGATTTTGCATAATAGCAACTGGCAACAGTGTGCTATGGGGATCATCAAACTAATACAGGTATAGATTTAGCCATTGTCTTTGTGAGTTAGGTTTCTGCAATCTTCTTCTTATCCCCATAAAGATGCAAGAAAGCATTTTCTAAAACATGCAATTTTCATCTTGTGCTTACAGAAGAAAGAAAATCTGTACCAGGGGAACAAACTGACATGAATGGATTCATGTTGTACTATAACTCTTTATCTTTATTTTGTCTGTGATGTTTTGGGGAATTCACCTTTTATCCCAGTTTGGGGTAGCAACTTGTGTCTGTTACACTACTGCCTTAATGTGTAATCACACTACTGGGGGGCCTTAATGAATTGACTGGCTGGGAGTCAGCAGAAAGAGATCAAAGTGCTGCGTGTGTGTCCAAAAATACCATTTTACATGCATGGTTTTTGGATAGTTGGGCTGATTGTTGCACAGCCCAAAGTATCATTATTTAAATATGCAGCAGGGAGTCTATAAGCAATATTGGTGACTAGTCCTTTGCCCTATGCTCAGCTTTTCAGGTCCTTTTTTTTTAATAGCTTCACGTTCAGGTCCTTTTTTTTTTAATAGCTTCACGTTCCATTATGTTTAACAGGACAGGATTTTTACAGTAGCTGAGGTTTGTCTGCATGTAAACTGTAGGTCTTCTTTAAGTTTATAAATTTAAGTTTAACCGTGCAATAGGGAAAGGAGGGGGGGGAAACGGGTAGTGCATTTTGAACAAAGGAGAAAAACTTTAGCAATGAAACCAACTCCTGGAGTTCAGTTGTTAGAAAATGTTTTCCTTTCCTGATAATTTATGATCTCCGTTAGCTGAAAAACACACAGCCTCAGCACCCCCATGTGTCTTTTTGTTTCAGTCTATCCCTTCTAAGGATTCTCTCTGCATGGGGCACTATAATTGGCTCCTCTAGAGAGAGCGTGAAGCCTAGGCAATGTATCCATCCCCCTCCCTTTTTTTCCCTTTTCTCATTTTACTGTTGGAAAACTAGTTTTGGCATATAACTAACCTATATATTTTATATTTTAAGGAAATTTGTTCCCAAGCGAAGAAGTATAGTCATCGACTTTGATTCGATCAATAAGAACAGACCGAGTCCGACACAGTTGTGAAGACTTGTTGCATCTTCAGTTGCTGTCACACTATATGACTTTTGTAGCTGTCACCTGTGTGAGAATGTAAAGGGTTAGGTGTCTGTATTTCTCTATAAAGGGTATGCTGGCTTATTTTTGCTGAATCCTTTTAGTGACTGTCATCGTATAGATCTAACAAACTCCCAATGGTGCCTTACCTTTGTAGTGTGCTTAAGAAATGTCACTGATGCCCAGGTAATTAGAGCTGCTCAATGATTCAGACTGTTACGCATTTTGTAAATGAACCATGTGCTTTTATGGCAGACCCTGTAGCTGCTGCTTTGCTAAATGTTACACTTTATTTACAGGTATGTGCAAATAGGCAATATGTTTATTGTCAATACAAGCAGATTTGCTTTAGGATGATGCTCTGCCTTGATGATTGCCCCTTACCCATTCAGACTACAGTTAGGGTTCATGTACATGGATTCTTTGATTGCACTTTTGCTCTTTTGAGCTCCATTTTACTAAACATGTACTACCTGTCTAAATTTGATTCAGCTTGTAGTAGGAAGAGCTTGGTTCAGGGGGAGCTCATGTATAGATGTTTTATTTAGAGAAATTCTGGCACAATAGTTACAACCTGCCTATTGACTTCACTGCTAATTGGTCAATTGCCTGTTGTGTGATGATGATTTTTTTTTTTTAAACAGAGTATTTAAGTTGAAAGCAGTGATTCCTAGTAACCAATAACTAGGAATCAGATTCGGAAGCTTAACATGACACTAAACTCAGGAGTTAAACATGGAATACAAGTACCTTAATGAACAAAAATGTATCTTATTTGTGAATCACTCACCTGTAGACCCCCAAATCATCTCTGAATTTGTGCTGACACTGTCCTTCCTTCTGGAGGGTGTTTCAGAGATGATTTGAGGATCTACATATGAGTGATGCACAAATAAGATACATTTTTGTTAATAGTTGAGGTACTTGAATGTATTTTTAAGATTTCACTCCTGAGTTTAGTGTCACTTTAAGATGGACATATAGGAATGAGCCAACCATCAGTTAGAAGTCTTTCAGACTGGTTTTATGCTCTGCATTGGAGAGGGGATCAAACATCTCTCAGAAAAAAAAGTGTGTCTTACTGCACTCCTTACTAGATCTCCTAGGATAGTGGTGGCGAACCTTGGCACTCCAGCTGTGCCAAAACTACAAATCCCAACATGCATCTGCCTCTGGGAGTTATGTCTGTGGCTGTCAGAGCCTTGCAATGCCTCATGGGACTTGTAGTTCCAAAACAGCTGGAGTGCCAAGGTTCGCCACCACTGTCGTAGGAGATGTCTGTAATCGGGTGCTTGTAGCGACCACGGAGGCACCGTGTAACCAAGTAATAATCCCAAAAGATGTCACCAGCACTCCAAAAGTTGAATCAAAAACTTTTAATGACAACGGTCATTCAAAATGCAAGTACTTTCGGGGCCACTTGGGTCCCCGTCATCAGGCTCAGGCCATTCTGAGCCTGATGACGGGGACCCTACGTGGCCCCGAAAGTACTTGCATTCTGAGCCTGATGATGGGGACCCTACGTGGCCCGAAAGTACTTGCATTCCAAACATCTCTCAGGACTCGTGCATCTCAGGCTAATGGCTGGATGGCATGTGTCTGTGGCTACCGCACATGAGTTTGGCAGTTAGTAGTGCAATCAAATCGGGCTACAGTTGGCCGTGTCTCTGGTCAGGTTTAGTCTAGTTGGACCAAGATATTTCTGATTGGATTAGTAATGTTTACATACTTTTCACTCTCTGAGGGTACATGATATTTTTTAGCAGGTTTTAATTGTCATATTAAGGTTATAATGCTTTTCCTATTTCAACAGCTATTTTTAGACTGTGTCTGACGGTAGAATCATTTTTAACCATACACTTGTTGTATTGTGTAAAACATTGATACAGTTTTTGTAAAATGTATGTTGAGAAGTGGTTTTTATTACTTCATGTAGTTATAATATGCTGCTAATAAAATTTCTTGATTACTGTATATTATTCTTGCTGTAAGTTACCAATAAAACTTATTCATTATGATATGCTGATATTGCTGGGTTGCCCTGCAGATTCTGAGAAAATATTGGGATATTCTTTCGTCTTGCTGTGGGGGATTATAACAAATCAAGTCCAGAAAAGAAACGATTGCTTAATTGAAGTCTTGGGGGGAGAAAAAGAAAGTCTGTATAATGCCACACACAAGCACATTTATGGTATTATTATGCTGTGACAGTGCTGCAGCCAAAACATTTTTAAGCCCAATTCCAGTCAAAATCTTTCACTAAGTGACTTTCTGGGTTTTACTGCCATCTGTGTCACTATTGGAGAGACAGATAGGATAGGAAGTGATGGGAAATACCTTCAACGTGGACACAAAATAAATGCACATGACCAGGGCTTGAAAAATCCGCTCGTCTTCTCATCTGTGTAATTAAACGGCCAGCCAGGAGCTTTACATTCAAGCGATCGGGCGGGACCGGCACGGCTGCTCTGCTACAGGAGATCAAAGGGAGATTGAGTACACAATCTCCCTTTGATCTCCTCTCCGGTCCCGAATGCAGGAAGTGATGTACATTACATCACTTCCACATTCTGTTGCCATTCCCAGCTACAGAAGCTGGTGAAGCAGAACTCTGCAGCATCAGCTTCTCTGGGGGTTCCTAGGTGACATTAGGGGCCTTGGAGACCCCTGATGTCTCCATAAAGAGAGGACCTGTCATGTAAATTATCTCACATAGAGGTCTTCTCGGCCTTTTGGCTAAGATCAAGTGTAGTATCTGTTCTTATCAGTTTTCGGTGGGGAAAAGAACCGTCCTTGCGGGGGAGGTTACTTAGTACTCGCTGGAGTGAAAATATGCAGTCCACCCACTGCCGTCCGCAGTCAGTCATAAGGGAGGCTGATAGGGAACTAGTCTCTCAGCTTTCCCAGCACAGCTAAACTCCTTGGCTGCTGCAACTGCCTGATAGTTGCAGTGGTTAGGTAGGGAGCTCAGTGTTACTTTTTTTGTTTTGTATTGTTACTGAGCTGCACTATAAACACTCCGCATCAATGCTCACCATGCATCCATGGCGACAGGTTCATGTACCTGCTTCTGACGGGTACATGAATCTGTTGCTAGTTGTGACATTTGTCGCATACACAGATGCCTTAATTCATATGAATATCTACAACACTGTTTATGAATGCCAGGGATAATGTTTCGGGTTTAAAAGTGGGCTTCCACTTTTGCTGTCACATTTGGGAAATTTCCATAATATGCTTGTGTTCTATTCACACAACAAATCTAACAATGTTTTTTAAGGTATTTCTTGCCTTTTTAGATGTTTTGGAGCAGGCCTTTGTAAGCTTCTCTTTCAATTTCAGTAACGGCAGATTGACTGTCTCCATAGAAAGACTAGAGCCAGACTGAGCTCCCCCTTATTAACATACAATCGTTCTAGATCTTTGAACCTTTGTTTGGACAGACAGTGTTCAAATCTACAAAAAGCAAAACCAGCGCCAGATAGGAACCTCCTTAGGCCACAAATTGAATCTTGTGTTCCAGGCAGGCCGCCCCGTTACAGATGAGGGATTACACTGTGTGAAACATAAAAAAGAAACACCGGTTTAACTGGTGCAAATAATCCTTCGAGCTATGAGGAAGGGTAAACTCCCCAAAAATGCGTTCAGCTGAGTCAGCTTGTCTCTGCTGGTCTAGCAGCATATTTGGATTGTTTTCTCTGACTGCTAGGAATCTGCATGTATCCTGAGATTTATGTCCAATACGCGTTTTATCCACCTCTTGTGAGTACCATTTATCACTTTTAATATTTCTAAACAAATAAAAGGATTATTTGCACCAGGAAAGGCGCCCGGTGTTTCTTTTTTAGTGTTCAAATCTAGTTTACAACTGATGATATCTGCCAGCACTGTACACACAGGGCTAATTGTGTTAACATTTATCTCCCCTCCCCCTTGCATTCCAGTAGGAAATTCAGCAGAGAGAACAACTTTTCTGTCAGAACTGAGCATGTTTTGTGCTGCTTTTTATTATTATTTTTATAATGCTATGAGGACATGTAACAAATTTATAATGGGTGTTATTTCAATTTGGCTGCAAAAGTAGAAATACACTCTGTTTTTAAATGTAAAGTCCATTTTAGTGTTTGTGTGCATAATGGGGAGGGGGAGGGGGGGGTGCAGGCAATCTCTGGCAGCACAAGGGTGAATCAAACTTCTTAAAATAATTTATGGGTGTTGCCATTGCCAATTTTATTTATTTACTATTTATTGTTCCAAAACTTCTCGTAGGCAGGACATGAAATCCTGAGAAGTGGCAACATTTTGTGGAACTGGAGTAGCCTGACAGCCAAGGAGCTGGTTGCTTCATTACCGGCAGCAGCAATATTTCTCCCATGACTAGGCTGGAACACTGCAAAGAAATGTACCATGTTCAGGATGGTTATCCTTTCAACTACATGACAAGCTTATGTCATTTATTTAATTTGAATAAAATGTAGGGTCCTTGCTGCTGTTTGTGCTTAGGGCAAACAAGAGCAAATGTGTGTGGCTCTCCACCCAGGTATGACTACATCATCTGGCCACAAAAGCACCCCAGCTTTGAATGGCACCTGGAGAATTGCATTAAAGAAGAACGATTACTCAAAGTATCTATGGTCAAAAGCTGAAAATGAAATATGTATTTCTATATTGATTTTTCCATTAGTTCTATTCCACTCCTAATAACCATATCAATCTACAAGTTTGCAAACTTACTTATTGAAGCTGACCATAGGATGTACTTTCTCAATGCAGTGACACAACTTAATTCAGACTTGTGATTATGCCCTTCATTGTGTCACAACTCCCAGATCCTGCCTTCTGTACAACTCAACATCTGAACAATGTAACATCATTGCTTTCTGAAAGCAATGCATTATGGGCTATGTAGTCTTTAGAAATTCAGATTGCATCACATCAAGCAGCAGGGGAAGAGATGCAAAGCCAGAAAGTCGTTTGACATATGGGCAGACAGAAGGCAGCACTCGCTACATAAAAGGAATTTTTTTCAAGTAAGCTTTGATTGCATTATTTAAAAAAAACCTCTATTATGTATTCCTATTACAATGCTAATGTTATAATAGGATAGTATTTGCAGGGACTTTAGAACTCCTTTATTTCTAAATCCTTTTTTCTTTTCACCCCCAAATTTTTACGTGAGCCTACATATTCATCCTGTAATTGTGGCAAATAGTTTTTGTTTATGTTCCTTTTGACATATACACATTGAAATAATTGATTATACCTAGTTAAAAGGGCTTAATAATATATGCAGATTGAAGCCAAACTCCAGGAAAAATTATGGGTGTGTAGATTGTGATTAAAAAGCTGTGTGTTATATGTGGAGGGCTGCAAATTATTAAAATCTAACGTTGTGGCATGCTGTACCCTACACATAACATTGATCTTCTGGGCACTGAACAGAGGGAGAGATGTGTCTTGAGCAGCAGAGTGCTCCGGTCATATCACCTGCCGCTCCTTACTACTACCCATTCA